AGGAGCAGCAGGATCATGATGACAACGACGACACGACGACGACGACGGCGAATGAGGAACGACGCACCAGGAAGGAGGAGCAGGGAGGGGCAATGGAGAAGTGAGGAGGGGGAAGGGCGGATGGAGGAGAAGGGAGGAGGAGGAGCAGGGCGAGGAAGGAGGCAGGGAAGAGGAGAAGCCGGGATGCGGGGATCGGGAGCAGGAGCAGGAGGCGGAGGCTTGCGGATCGAGAGCAGGGCCCTCTCCACCCCCGCACTCCGAGGCATCGAGTTCAGCTCGCTGCTCTCTCTCGGCGTGATCCTCTCCGTGCTCGGTGTTGGCATCGGCGCCAGCGTGTACGAGCAGAGGAGGCCCTGTCCTGGCCCCGCGCCTCGCTGCCGCCCTGCCGGCGGCTGCTGCGGCGTCCCCCCCGGGCCCCCAGAACTCCCCGGCGTCCTGCCCAGAACCACACCTTCCGGGGCGTCGCCTGCCCTGCCAGAGGAGGCGGAGGAGGAGGAGGGGGAGGAGGAGGAGGCGGAGGAGGAGAAGGAGGAGGAGGAGGAGGAGGGGGAGGAGGCGGAGGAGGCGGAGGAGGCGGAGGAGGAGGGGGAGGGGGAGGAGGAGGAGGAGGCAGCAGAATGAGGAAGCATGAAGCTGCTGTTTTATGTATCGTTTCGGGTTGCCGTGCCGGCACAGCGCACGGTTGCGAGACATCCCCGAATGATCTGCTACAAGAGTGCACGTGTACGTGCATGCATGTGTTGCGCTTCCTTAGCCGCCGAGGCTCGAATCTAAGTCGTTCTTTGACATGAACTAGAGCCGGGCATTAGAAGTTGCGCATCCACAGCTTGAGAGTGTTTTGGTTTCATCCTTCATGCCCTCCTGGGCCGTCCACCCGCCGTGCTTTCCTGGAGTCGCTCGCCGAGCTTCTGTCGTGGCCGCCTCCTTCTCCCTGCCGCTCTCGGCCATCCTGGCCTCTCGCTTGCGAAGCCGCCCTTGCGGCCTCACCCGCGACCCAAACTACGTTCACTGAACAAGTCAAAACTTCGGCGCCTGCGGCGGGTTTCTTTTGCATTCGTTCCAGGTGGAGAACCTGCGACCCAAACCGCGTTCAGTGTGCAAATCAAAATGTTCGGCGCCTGCGGCGGGCTGGTTTTGAATAGATTCCAGGTGGAGGTGGAGAGCCCGCGACCCACCCGCGACCCAAACTACGTTCACTGAATAAGCCAAAAATTCGGCGCCTGCGGCGGGCTGTTTTTGCATTCGTTCCGGGTGGCCCACCAGCGATCCCTCCCGCGCTGAACTTGTCAGAGCACGACGACGACGATGAGGACGAGGACGCGGACGAGGAAGAGGAGGAGGAGGAGGAGGAGGAGGAGGAGGAGGAGGAGCAGGAGCAGGAGGAGGAGCAGGAGGAGGAGGAGGAGGAGGAGGAGGAGGAGGAGGAGGAGGAGGAGGGCGCCATCGACAGGGAAGGTGAAGGCCACGAGGTCCGCCGGCTCGTCGCCCGCGTCGCCCGCGCCCGCCCCCTCACTCTTATCCGCAGCTGCGGGGTGCTACGTGCTATTTATCGTGCCTTGTGCCTTCCCCTTGGAGGAAAAAAAGGGGGCGTCCCGCAGGCCAGGCCGATGACCGCAGTGCTCTCTGCAGCAGAGAACCCGTGAGGTGCACAAGGCGGGCACCTGGGCGGCAATCTGCCAACGCCAGCGAGCGCACGGAGGGGGGGCCACGGGCCGGCCGCGGGCCGGCCGCGGGCCAAGAGGCTGGACAGATCGCCGGCGGGCGCACGGGGCGGCCACGGGGCGGCCGCGGGCGGGCAAGCCCGGGAACCCCAGCCGAGCCCGTCCCAGACGAACGAGGATCCCGGAGTGCAAGGTGCTCGGTCTTTTAGCCGTCGTTCTGCCGATCGGCGTGGGCCCCCCTCCCAAACGGAGTAGATCTTCGCTGTTTTCCTAGGGGGCTTGTTTCGAGCGGGTGGGGTTTCCCCCAGAGGCAGGACTCCTGCAAACAGTCGCACCAGGCAGAGGTATGGAGCCAGACCCCCCCCTCCCTCCCCCCCTGTCCGCCCAATGTCGAAACATTTAATCACGAAACGCTCACAAGCATCGTTTAGGGAATCAAGCATAACAGCCCTTCTCCTGGGACCTCCCATCGGCCTGCGCCTGTGCCTCAACCCGCGCTGCCAGGACCGAGTCAACGTGAAGTCTGTGATGACGATGTTCCAGAAGTCTCGCAATTCCTCAGCAGTGGAGAGTGAGGCATTGGCCTCTTCCACTCTGCAGGGGCGAGGAGGTCTCGAGAGGGACGGTGACGATGATGGGTACGAATGCCAGTATATTGTGATTGCGATGGTGAACATGACAGCGCTTGCGGCGATTCGTGATGCAGACGGCAAGGCGAATCGATTGGCTTGTGCTGCTGCTGCTGCTGCTGCTGCTGCTGTTTCTGGTGCCTCTACCTTTTCTTCGTTTCGGCATCGTCGTGGTGTGTCAGGAGGAGGAGGAGGAGGAGGAGGAGGAGGAGGAGGAGGAGGAGGAGGGGAAGGAGGAGGAGGAGGAGGAGGAGGAGGAGGAGGAGGAGGAGGAGGAGAGGAACGGCTCGCAGTCTCTCCAGGATCCTGCGGTACACGTCGTCGCCCAGAGAGGGCCCTCGCACGCAAGCGGCCCGGGCCGACGCAGGTAGACCAGGATTCAGGAGGGGAAAAACACACAGACACAATGAATCGGCGATCCCCAGGAAAACATGGAAAAGTATGGGAAGTGGGGGGGAAGACGAAAACCCAGAAAATATGGGAAAATGTGGGGAATCTTTTTATTTGTGTGTATTTATTTGTGTGTCCCAGGGCCCCTTCAAGGATGCCCATCAGCGCATCTCCCAAGGCGCGTACGATCATACTTTCATCTCGCAGCGGGTGGAGGTCGTCAGAGTGGAAGGCGTTCTCGGGATCGTCGAGGGGCGTGGCGGGGGGGGGGGCAGGCACAGCTGACGTCGTCAGCGGTCTCCGCAAGTGGTAGTCGCCGTAGCGGGACTATCCGGCCAGGTGCTAGGTGGTTGTAAGCGTCAGTCGATGGTTCAGTCGTTGCATCCATGGCCGGCGTAGTAGCCGAAATAACCAGTTGTCGTAGAGTTTTGTTGCGTGCGTGTTAGCGGTGGTCGTAAGGGTCGTCGAGGTGGAGGCCGTCGGGTGAGTCGTTGAGTAGTAGTGGCTGTCGTGGTCATAGTGATCGTTGCGGTCATAGTAGCAGTGGTCGTCGAGGTGGTCGTCGCGAGAGCCAGACGTGAAAGGTGTAATCGTCGCTGGTGGTCGTCGTACTCGTTGTCGTACGAATAGTTGTCGTCGTGGGACGGTGCAGTCGGTGGACGTGATCATTTTACGTGGTAGTCAGAAGTACTTGTCGTTGTAGCGGCAATAATATGTAGCAGTCGGCATGCAGGTCATCGGCGTGATGGTCGTCGTGCATATTTCTCACAGATGGCACTCGCCGCAGTGATAGTCGTCGCAAGCAAGAATCTTCGCAATGGTAGCAGTCGTAAGCGAACTCGCTGTAGTTGAAGGGCGGGTCGTCTCGATAGCCGTCGTAGTGGCAGACGTCGTCGTGGCAGCCTGCAGTGGCAGCAACTGTAGTAGAGGCGGTCCGACTGTCCAATTTGGTAGATGTCGTAAGTGTTGGTCACCTGGTAGTTGTCATACGTGGTCGTTGCCGCAGCGAGAGTGCAGTACGTGTGAAGTCGTCGCAAGGTGTAGTCACCTTAATGGTAGTCGACGTATCGAGCACGTGGAAACGCAGAATCGCGATTTGTTCATCCAATGTTGCGCTTTGGTTTCATCGCGTCTCCCACAGGGGATCCTCAGATATCTGCATGAGCCTGGGTGAACCACATCGATCCGTTTGACATGAACGGCTTGCGAATTGGATACGCAGTTGGCAGTCTTGCAATCCCCGCAGCTTGAGTCGCCTAAACTCCCGCACGCTGAGAAGGATACAAAAAGGAAGTAGGAGGAGGAGGAGGAGGAGGAGGTGGGGGAGGAAGAGAAGCAACAGCAGGATGAAAGGAAGGGAAGGGGAACACCAAGGGAAAGAGCAAAAGGAGGAAGAGGATGGGAAGGGCGACGGGCAGGAGAAGGACGAGCAAAGGAGGAGCAGCGAAGAAGGAGGCAGATTGCGTCTGGAAGGGGGCCCTGCGTTTGCCCTAACAGCCCTATTCTGTCCGATTCCCTGCCCAGATGCGTCTACTATGGCGCCTCGTTTGCAGATGCAGTCATTGTGTGGGTGGTCCCTCGCCCTCCACTTTCGCTCGTCTCCAGAGGGCACGGCACGTTCGCGCTGCGTCGTCTCGGCGCCGAGCCCAGCGAGGGCGTTCAAAGGTTGACCGCCGCCGCTCGGTGGTCGGCTGCCGTCGAGCGATCAGCGCTGCCTGAAACTTGCGACCGCTCCGCGAGGTGTCAGAAACCAGCGCAGGAATCGTCAGGACAGGAAGCAGCCTCACGCCTTCAGCCTCGTCTGGCCCTCGATGGCCACGGGGCCCTACCTAATCATTTTTTTTCTTGGTGCCGCGCCTGGCCCGCCGGCCCTGCCGGGGGGTGAGGAGGCCCCGCCGCAGCCCTGGCAAGATGGCGCAGCGGCCCTCGCAGGCCTGGCGCGCCGCCGCGAAGCGGTGTCGCGGCGCTATGCGAGGCCACGGCATGCGACGCTGGGTGTGTGTCGCGACGCCATGCGACGCCTTCTGCGCTTGACGCTGCGCTTTGTGTCTGTCTGTCTCTCTCGCGGGCCACTCCTCGCGCAGCCAAGTACCCGGCAGCGGGCTCGGTCGCCAGGGGCCGACGCCGCCCGAGGGCCCTCCGTTCGCCCTCCGCCCGTCCTCCGCCCGCCTTGGCGGTCGTCGTCTTCGCCTCTGTCGCCGCCGCCGTCGTCGTCGTCGCCGTTGTCGTCGACGTCGCCGTCGTCGCCTCGTCGTCGCTCTTTCTCTTCTTCTTGTTATTCGTGTTATGTTTCTTTTTCTTCTTCTTCTTCTTCTTCCTGTATTTGTTCTTCGTAGTGTTATTGTTGTGATAATCCCCCGCTCAGAGCTTACCTCTGTAGGGGGCGGATTCATATGGTTAGGTGAGGTGCGGCGTCGATTTCGGCGGAACGCCCGGGTGCCCGGGTGCCTGGTTGAGGTGCGCCGCCGATTTCCGCGGGTGCCTGGGTGCCCGGGTGCCCAGGTGCCCGGTAGCCCTATAGCCCTATAGCCTTACAGCTTTATAGCCCTATAGCCCTGTAGCCCTGTAGCCCTATAGCCCTAATAGACCTATAGCCCTATGGCCCAAAAGCCCTATAGCCCTGTAGCCCTATAGCCCTATAGCCCTATAGCCCTATGGCCTTATAGCCCTATAGCCCTCTAGCGCTATAGCCCTATAGCCCCATAGCCCTGTAGCCCTAAAAAGATGTTGATTGGGTTTTTCTCCAGTAGCATTATTAATCTGATCATGATCATGCACTATTATTACTATCATATGATTATAAATGTTCGCCTCACCATTTTGTGATTCTCATCATCGTCACCATCACCATCATTATTAGTAGTGTTATCATCAGTATCATTATTATTCTAGACGCTTCGCGTATCCCCACCAGCCCGTCCAGAAATGAGTCCCAGGGGAGTGGAGGTTATGAGGGAAGCGGGGGAGCATGCAGAAGAACAAAGGGCGGGGTGAGCCGCCATATACCCCAAGAGGGGGAGGATGTAGGAGGAGCCGTCGTCGTAGGAGTAGGAGGAGGAAGAGGAGGAGCAGGAGGAGGAGCAGGAGGAGGAGCAGGAGGAGGAGGAGGAGGAGGAAGATAAGGAGGAGGATATGGAGAACTGCGAGGACGAGAAGGAGGAAAAGGAGAAGGAGGAGGAGGAGGAGGAGGAGGAGGAGGAGGAGGAGGGGGAGGGGGAGGAGGGAGGAGGAAGAAAAAGAGGAGGAGGAGGAGGACAATGGCGAGCTTGGGGGCCTCTTGGGCCGTCTTTGGGGCCTCTTGGCGGTCCCGGGGGCCTCTTGCGTATCTCGGGGAGCCTCTTGTGGCCTCTTGGGGGTCTCTTGGAGGCCTCTTGGAGGCCTCTTGGGGGCCTCTTGGGGCCTCTTGGGGCCCTCTTGGGGCGCTCTTGGGGCGCTCTTGGGAGCCTTCGAGGCGCTCTTGGGGCCATCTTAGAGGAGATCTATCAAAGAAGGGGGGGTCCCCAATTAGCGCTGCCCCTCTAAAGTGCCTCGAATCGCTTCTTGGGCCCCCCAAGAGGCCAAAATCTTTCCAAAACCTAAGGAAAATCAATGTTTTGTGTTTTCTCGCCTTTTCGCTCTTGGAGCCGTCTTGGGCCGTCTTGGGAGCCTCTTGGGCCTCTTGGGGGTCTCTTGGGAGCCTTGTGGAGGCCTCTTGGGCGCCTCTTGGGGCCTCTTGGAGCGCTCTTGGGGCGCTCTTGGGGCGCTCTTGGGAGCCTTCGGGGCGCTCTTGGGGCCATCTTGGAGGAGATCGATCAAAGAAGAGGGGGTCCCCAATTAGCGTTGCCCCTCTAGAGTGCCTCGAGTCGCCTCTTGGGCCCCCCAAGAGGCCAAAATCGTTCCAAAACCTATGTAAAATCAATGTTTTTTGCTTTCTCGCCTTTTCGCTCTTGGAGCCGTCTTGGGCCATCTTGGGAGGCTCTTGGGGCCTCTTGGGGGTCTCTTGGCAGCCTCTTGGAGGCTTCTTGGGGGCCTCTTGGGGCCTCGTGGGGCCGTCTTGGGGCGCTCTTGGGGCGCTCTTGGGAGCCTTCGGGGCGCTCTTGGGGCCATCTTGGAGGAGATCTATCAAAAAAGGGGGGGTCGTATATTAGCGTTGCCCCTCTAGAGTGCCTCGAGTCGCCTCTTGGGCCCCCCCGAGAGGCCAAAATCCTTCCAAAACCTAGGTAAAATCAATGTTTTGTGTGTTTCTCGCCTTTTCGCTCTTGGAGATGTCTTGGGCCATCTTGGCCGTCCCAACGACCCGCGGAACGCCCCGTCCAGGTCAGTGGGGAGGGGTAAGGGGAGGGGTAAACCCCTCCCCGAAGGGGAAGAAGGGGGTTGGCAGAGGAAACTCCCTAAACCACCTACGCCCTAAAGGGCTGGTGGGATTAGTAGTACGTTCATTGTAAAGACCATCGTCATTCGCATACATCGCATTATTGTCATTATTATTGCCAGTGTCGGTCTGATCCGTATGAATACGAGTATTGTCACGACTAGTATTAGCATTGCTATCTGTATTATTAGTATTGTTCGTATCAGTAGCATTCATATTATTATTGGTATGTGTGTTAATCGTTTTATCGGTATCAGTGGTACTCGTCGTACCAGTATGGTGATTCCTATGATTAGCAGTGGTAGTAAGTCTGCGTGTTCGTCAGTATATTAGTCAGCATTATTAGTGTTCTCCTTTTCGAAATCACCTACGGCGAATCACAGCCGCCCCCCTACCTTTTGAAATCGCCCATGTGGCCGAGCGTTGTGGTAAGAGCTCTGCCAAGCTATCGGCCCATGCGTTCCCCCAACCGTGGTGGAAACCCTTCGGGAACGGTTGGCGGTGATGACAGGGAAGATCAGGATGAGGAGGAGGAGGAGGAGGAGGAGGAGGAGGAGGAAGAGGAGGGGGCACCTTGGGAGCCTCGGGGGACACTCTTGGGGCCTCCTGGGAGCTTTCTGGGAGCCTCTTAGGGGGCATGTTGGGGGCCTCCTTGGGCCTCTTGTGGGCCTTTGAGGGCCTCTCGGGGGCCCCTTTGGCAGTCTCAGGGTATTCCTGGCCCGTCTAACGCCGTCGGAAGCCGTCTTGTAGGCCTCTCTGGGCCGACTTGAAACCCTCTTGGGGTGCCCCAGGGCCGTCTTGGAGGCCATCTTGGGCGTCTTGTCGGATCTTGTCGGCCTCTTGGGCCGTCTGGGGGGGCGACTTGGAGGCCCCTTCGGCCGTTCTGGGGCCATCCTGGAGGCCTCTTGGGCGATCTTCTTGGGCTCTTGGGCCGTCTCGGGCCGTCGGAAGGCTGAAAAGAAACACATGCCAAGTTCCTTCACACACCTCAGGCACATCAGTTACGTTTGCCTCTTCGGGCCTTCCTGGAGGTCCTCTTGGAGGCCTCTTGGGCCGTCTTGGGGACCTCTTGGGGGCCTCTTGGGCCGCCTTGGGCCATCTTAGAGCCATCTTGGGCCTGTCTTGGTGGGCTCCTGGCCCGTCTGACGCCGTCGGAAGCTGTCCTGGGGGCCTCTCTGGGCCGACTGGGGGTCCTCTTGGGGTGCTCCAGGGCCGTCTTGGGGGCCATCTTGGTCGTCTTGGAGGCCTCGGGCCGTCTTGGGGCCCTCCTGGTGCGGTCTTGGGGGCCTCTTGGGCCGTTCTGGGGCCACCCTGGAGGCCTCTTGGGCGATCTTTGGGGGCTCTTGGGCCGTCTCGGGACGTCAGAAGGCCGAACAGAAGCAAATGCCAGAATCCTTGGACAAACCCAAGGACAATGAACGAGTTTGGCCTCTTCGGGTCTTCCTGGAGGTCCTCTTGGAGGCCTCTTGGGCCGTCTTGGAGGTCACTTGGGCGCCTCTTGGGCCCTCTTGGACCGTTTTGGAGGCTTTTTGGGCGGACTTGGAGGCATCTTGAACCCTCTTGGGCCGTCTTGGAGGCCATCTTGGAAGCATCTTGGAGGCCGTCTTGGACCATCTTGACGGTCTTGAAACCGATTTGGAACCGTCTGGGGGAAATCTGTCTGATAATTCCGCGCCTTTCGGTTAGCCTGCGGGACGGGCCGAAGCCCTAGGGAGAGTTCTTTGGGAAAAAGAGCCCAAACCAAACCGTCTAGGGTCCAGCACGCCGGGCACCCTTGTGGCAAGCCAACATGGGACGGCGGATCGAAGATGCCTACGACGAATCACCGCCGCCCCCTGCCTTTGTGGAAGCGCCTATGTGGCCGAACGTTGAGGCCAGACCTGCCAAGCTATCGGACCATGGGTTTCCCGAATCGGTTTGGAAAGCCTTTGGGGAACACGTGAGCATCTTGAAGGTCATCTTGGCCGCCTGGAGGCCATTTTGACTCTTTCGGGCCTTCTTGGAGGACGTCTTGGAGGGCTCGTGGGCCGTCTTGGAGGCCATCTTGAGCGTCTTAGAGGCCTCTTGGGCCGTCTTGGGGGCCTCTTGGAGCCGTCTTGGGCGCCTCTTGGGCCGTTCTGGGGCCATCTTGGAGGCCTCTTGGGCGATCCTTGGGCGATCTTTGGGAGCTCTTGGGCCGTATCGGGCCGTCGGCAGGCCGAAACGAAGCAATTGTCAGATCCTTCGAAAACCTTCGGCAAATCACTCTTTTTGGCCTTTTCTGGCCTTCCTGGAGGCCTTTTGGGCCAGCTGCGAGCCACCTTCGGCCATCTTGGTGGGCTCCTGGCCCGTCTGACGCCGTCGGAAGCCGTTTCGGGTGCCTTTCTGGGCCGACTTGGGGCCCTCTTGTGGTGCTCCAGGGCCGTCTTAGAGGCCATCTTGGGCGTCTTGGAGGCCTCTTGGGCCGTCTTGGCGCCCTCTTGGGGCCGTCTTGGGGGCCTCTTGGGCCGTCATGGGGCCATTTTGGAGGCCTCTTGGGCGATCCTTGGGGCGACCTTAGCGGCCTCTGGGGCCGTCACGGGCCGTCGGAAAGCCGAAAAGGCGCAAATGCCAAAATCCTTCAAACACCCAGGGAAATCAAGGATTTGGGCCTCGTCGGGCCTTCCTGGAGGAACTCTTGGAGGCCTCTTGGGCCGTCTTGGAGGCCTCTTGCGGGCATTTTGGGCCGTCTTAGACCATATTGGGGCCATCTTGGGCGGTCTTGGATGCATCTTGGGGCCATCTTAGCCGTCTTGGAGGCCATCTTGGCTGTCTTGGAGGCATCTTGCAGGCCATCTTGGACCATCTTCGCGATTGTTTGAGGACGTCCCGAGCGAAACGGCCGTTTTTGGCGTTGCAGCCGGGTCTTCCGGGTGGCCGGCGGGACGGGCCAGAGCCCCAGGGGGATTCTTTTTGGAAAAAGAACCAAAACCAAAACCGAGAGGGTCTAA